ACGCCTCCCGCTGTGGCCGGCTGGCGCGCGGATGGTCAAGGCCAGGGTCGTCCTCAGCAGGAAGCCGCCCGCGGACCTGTCAGGCAAAGAGCCCACAGCTTAGACCCAGAACCGAGTCACAGTTGGGGAGTGCTCGCTCCGCGCAGAGATCAACCCGGAGACCCGCACATACACCCCGCCCTGATTCGCCACCACAGGTCCGGGGAGCCTGGCTCGCGTGCCGGGACGCAGGAGGCCCTGGGCCGGAGGGTCGATGCCCCCAGAGATGGCGTCGCCACCACCCCAGCCTTTCAGCCTGGCCAGAGGAGGACTGGAAGCAAGGGCTCCAAGGATGGTCCCTGACCTCCCAAAAGGCACAACCAGGGTCCCTTTCCTATCCTACCTCCCTGATCCCCTCTTTCCATTCTGAAGATGTCCTACCCCAGTTCAAGAAAAATTTTATCTGTTACCCACCCAAGAGACAACCCCCCCCCCAGGACACTCCTTAGTGAGAAACAGGAAGAGAAAAATGTAAAACCCCTATGAGTCATTGACCCTGAACACCGACTCTCTGAACTCTCAGACGCCCCTCCACTCCCGGGGAAGGACCAGAGGGTCCCCGCGCCAATCCCAAGTGTGACTGCTGTTGGGTCTGCTTCCTCTCCTGAGCCCGTTCCTCCTGGCGGGACACAGCCCGCACCCCGCTTCCGTGGACACCTCTCAGTGTCTACCTCTCCGCGGTGGCAGGGGTGACAGACGACCGAGCCTGCCAAGGCCAACCCAGCCACACAACCCACCCGGAGTCTCGCTCCAAGAGGAGAGAAGTTTGTCCTCCTGTCCCTCCGCGCGTGAGCACAGCCCGGCCGGTCCCCTCTCCTCAGGGCCGGCTTGGCTCGAAGACCAGCCAGCCGGGACCCCCAAGCAAACAGCCTGGCGAGTGCCCCAGCGCACAGACTCGCGTGGCAGCAGTCACTTTGGCGCTTCCAGGCTGAGCGCGCCAAGCTTCACGAAGTTGTTCTGCGCAGAGAAGCCGACAACGGAGCTGGGGACGCGTCTCCCCGAGAGGCCACCGCGGTGCCGCCCCACCTGCTTTGCCGGCACCGCCGGCGCCCCACACCCGAGCATCCATGCCACAGCCAGAACTGCCCTGAGTCCCGCACCAGGCCGGGCCCCCTACCGCTCACAAGCCGCGAGCGCACCACTGCACCCAGTGGCCATCACACACACACCCCAGTCCTGCACTAGGCCGGTTCTCCCACCCTGCACAAACCGCGCCCGCACCGGGTCCGCACCCACCCTCCTTTACGCACCGCATTCCCTGTCCTCGGTTCTCCAGGCGACACGCACCTGCACCAGAGGTTTCTTGCCTCGCTCTCCGCACCGGCCCTCAGGGCGCACACACTGGACCCTTACTGCGCCTTTCACCGCGCCTGCACTAGGTCCTCTGCCCAGCACTCCTCACTCGCCGCACCCGCGCTCCTATACCCGGTCCTCTACCTGGCTGGCACCTCCCCTCCGATACCCCGCCAAGAAGCCTGCCGGCTTCCAGCACTAAACCAGCCCGGCGCCCCACCGCACCGCGTCTTCTAGTTGTACACACCGCCTGGCACCCACCGCGCCTGCACAAAGCCCGCACCGCGCACACCGCGCCTCGCACCGCGTCCTCCAGCAGCGCGCACCCCGCCCGCACCGGACGCAGCCCGCCGTGCGCACTCCGCGCCCCGCCGCACTCCTGGTCCCCAGCCCCGCCGGCCTCCCCGCCGGCTCCTCGCGGTCGTCCCGCGAGCCCCGCAGCAGGTCCGGCTCTCACCCAGCACCCGAAGCGCAAACCTCCCTGATGGCCCCTTAAAATCAGGCTCCCTCAAAAGCACTGCTTGCGTGTCTTCTTTTCGATTCTTTCTTTTTTGCAAATTCCCTCCAAGTCTTAGCTCTGAGTAGTGTGAACACTTTCATAATTAGAGGCGGGGAGGAACCCAAACGGAAAACAATTTTCTAAATTAAAAAATAAGAGAAGGGGCGCGGGCGGCGTCGGGCTCAGCGGGCGCTGTGCAGAGCTGGGTCCGGGGCCGACTGGCGCGCTCGCGGCTGCCGTGGACCCGCCCTGCCGGGCGTCTGCTCGGTGAAGCCGGGTTCTGGGAGCGCGCGGCGCCCGCGCCTATTGGAGAAGAGGCCGGCCTGGCTCTGGAAGCCCTGGCGCTGCGCTGGAGCGCAGAGACGCGCAAGCCGGTCCTGGGGCGCCACCTACGGGCACCCGGCCTCCCTGCCACCGCTCCACGCGTCTCTTGGACAAGGATAAGGACCGCTCCCAAGAGCTGTGAACCCCAAATGCAGGCCAGGCCCCTCACAAATGCACCACTAACACCAACAGAAGATCTCTTCGAGATCAGCCAACCAAGGGCTGGCGGGACCGGTATGGCAGCATCGTGGATGCCGCGCGTCCTCACCGCGCTCACCACCTGCTCGGGCCCGATGCCGGATCCTGCAAGCAGGTAGCATCGCTCCAACTGTCCGCACAACCCTCGCCCACACCACCGGGCTGTGGTCCCGGCCAGCTCTAAACAAAGCAAAGGCAGCGCTTAACTTGAGCTCTGCGTAGCATCTGACCTTCAAGCTCACTGAACAGAATCTGTATCCTCTGGCCTGCGATAAGACTCTCCTGCAGACTGACTACAAAATCCCGCAAGTGTGGCCTCCAAAGCTGCTCAGAGAAACACCCGAAGCTGCTTCCTCCCGCCAGGCCCCCGCCTACTTCCCTTTTGAGAACAAACACGCCCCAATAAACTAGGTCTTTTCAGGTAGGGGGTTTGATGACCTGTCCACAGAAGCCAGGTCCTGGCTACTTTGCAAATTTCAAGCGGCAGGGCATCATCGCTAAGAGCTGAAGTTCCTTTCAGTTCAATCCAGCCATGATGGAGGGAGAAGCGGCAAAGTGGAAACAGACCAGCATCCAGCTCACAAAATAAAGTGGCCGTTAGGGTGACCCGGTGACCCGCGTGTGACGGAAAGAACCTCTGGGCTAGATGTTTGCATTTACGGTGCAGAACACAGGACAGTGTGGACCGCGCACCTACCATGCTCCTAAAAGCGCACACCAGAAAGGAATTTTTGTCAATCCCTTTATGTCACTAGCCATAAGTGCCAGGCTGTTCACAAGCTCCTGTTTCAACCAGGTGACTCATTTCAGTCAGCTGCACACCTTGGCAGTAGCTAATTCTTACTTGCTCAGAGAAATATTTTTCCACTATTGCATTGATCTGGCAACAGCTCATTGTCAAAATATACACAAGTGCTAATTTCTGTACAAACAGAAATGGCATGAGGCATTGGTTCTGGGGGGGTGGGGGGAAGGAGCTGGCAATTAGACCAATTTCCAAATAGTTAAGTGATAACACTGCTAGTGGATCTATAATCTTTAAATAACTCTGGTGGCCTAGTGGCAAGAAGCTGCACTGCAATATCAAAAGCATGCCGTTAGAAGTCACCAGCCTCAGTGAGAGAAGGATGAACAATCTCCCCTCATGTGATTAACTGCTTCTGAAAACCCGGTTCCTCCTCAACAGTACACAACAACAACATTAAAGGACGTGCCATAAGCACTGGTTTTGGCTAATTGTGCTATACGTGAGCTGAATTAGAAGTGCTGCAGGGCAAAAACCCACAAAAACCAATAATCAACCTTTCTATAGGACAATGATAACGTTGAAATTGTGTGTATATATAGGATAATAAAAAAGCTTAAAAATTTAAAAAGTATATATGTGAGTGTATATGTATAAAATGCTCAAAATGTTTAATCTAAAAGTTAAATTAAATTATGGAAGTAGAGCCATATACACATTATTGAAGAAAAACAAGTTTAGCTTATATTTGGATTTGTTTATTCCTATGAAGAATGGGTAATTGTGGAAAAACAGAAGATTGATTGAAAGAATGCCATTGTCTGTTCACTGATGAGTTGCTTACTTGACCTGTAAGGAGATTTTCTAGCTGTGTGGTGTGGATTTTAGCTCCTGAATATGCTCAGACAATTTTCAGAATGTCACTTTTTTTCCCAGTTATGTCATTACGTTGTTTGGGGGTATTTTGTTTTATGTTGCTATTACTTGGAGAATATTAATAACAGACTCTGTTGTCTGAGGTGTAGAAGCATGTCCACAGACAGTACAACAATATCAGCATTAACCCCACACCTGCTAGGTCTCAGTCATTGCACTGTGTCCTCTGTCCAGGCGACAGCACACAGTTTAAATAACGGAGCCCCCTGTGGAGGACCCAGATACTCGCCTGGAGCTGAAGAGAAAAAGAAAGATGTCCTAATATGAGGGGGGGTGGCGGGGGGGGGAAGGGAGCAGGACTATGAGAGAGAGAGAGAGAAAATGCCATCTTCTCTCTTTAATGCTTTAAAAATATTTCATTCATTCCGAATATTTCCCTTTCACAGACCTTTTTCTTTGTTTAGAGCTTGACTCAGCTTGTGATACAGTCCCTCTTCCCTTGTTTCTAGACACTCTTATGTCCCATTTACGGTCACATTTGTTCCAGGTCTGCGCTGAGGGGGCTGACGCAGTGGCTGCAGCAGTGGGCACAGCCACAGGGGACGGTAAGGATGATTTTGCGTGGGCAGTGTGGTGTTCTCCTGTGTGGGGCTCGAGTTAGGAGTTGCAGCTGACTCCACGAGCTGGAGCCGACTCCATGGCACCTAATAGCGAAAACATGCCATGAATATGGTCTTCATTAATTTATCTTAACTCTTTGCAGCTCTGTCTCGTTATCTAACATACATCTCAGTATTTGATTTCTTTTGTTTAATGGCAGGA